CAGAAAAGCAGGAGACACTACCTTCCTCACAGGTAAGCTTAGAGACCAGCTTTGCTGCAAGATGAAAATCATTCGGATCCTACAAAATCACTTCTTGTTTTCACTGTGTGAGTCCTACAGCAATGCCTACGTGGCACAATATTCTTTATGTGTTGTCATCTTTTAAAGGGAGCTGGTATGTTCTTGAGTCACATTTCCTAAGAAAAAAAAACAGTGAGTGAAACTACAGCAGATGAACATAAATGAGTAAGACAAAGGAAGGATTTTGGGGCAGTCTAACCTCATTTCCAAGGACTGCTGTCTTGTCGCCATGTAACTTCAGTGCTTCTTGTTGCTAACTTTACACAAAGGCTCTGAGTCCGGGACATCTTTCTGCAGGCTTCATCTTCAACAGCTGCCTGTACTGATTGCTGGAGACTGCAGCTCTTGAAACAGAGCTGACAGAAATAAATTTGTACCTGCCCTCAGCTGCTGCTGATCGGTGGAGGCGGCTGACACGGACGGGTTTGCAGCGGGCTGCCAAGCTGACCCGAAGCAGCTGCTATCTTGAATTAAGAAGACACTTTAATGACTTCAAGATGGCAAGGCCCAAAGGATGTTACACTTATTAATAACCTGAATCAAGGATAAGTGGCTTAAGTTGGAAAGACAGTATCATAAACAATGTTAGCTTTTTTTTTTCCATTCCATGTAAAATGCTAATAAATAGTAACTACTGACTTAAGTTTGCCATAATTATTATTTTTCCTGAAGCACCTAACCACGCTTACATACCTTTCCCCAGTTAGTATCTTTCCAGCAGCTTGATTTGGGCTATTAATTACCTTTTGGAAAAGTAACAAGATGTCACTTATTACTGTGAAATCTGGCCCTACAACACACAAGATGAAAAAAAAAGAGTGACAGAATGGAAGAGAAATACAGAGATCAATCTACACAGGCACAGATCTACTCATGCTATGGGTTGAGCATAAAATTATGCCTGAAACAGAAAAAGCATCAAAGAGAAGCTAGCTCTAAACACGTGTCCAAACAATGACATGTGTCCTTAGGAATGGCAACCTACCGCATATGATGTTGAGAGCAAAGTACAGAGATGTTACACTCACAGTGCACGATAACCTTATATTAGCAGAAGACAGAGAAGAGCAGAAACAAGTCCTCGGTTTCACTGCTTTTGGAGGTCAGCTGCTCTTAAATTGTGTGTTGTGGTTTTTGGCAATCAAAAAATAAAAAAAAAACAGATAGACTTGCTACAGTACCAGAATTAACATGAAAAAAAAATGCTGGGGTATTTTCAAATATGTTCATTAGCTCTTTCGCAGTCAAAAACACAAACCCATTCTTCTCCCCTGTGGTCAGCAGTGGTTAGTCTTATCTGGATTGAGACTTCAGGCATTAAGAAAGGAAATAAGGGAGCGTAAGGAATTCCTGCAGCCAGAGCAGGCTGGTTCAATCTGTAACACAACAGAGGAAGTTTAGATGATGCAAGTTTTCATTGGCAGAATAACTAATTTTTAAGTGCTAAGGTCACACTTGAGCACTTTCCCCAAAGCAAGCAGTATTATAAGAGTCAAACAGAACATTAGATATCATTTTATTTGCAGTCATTTATAGGGGAAAGGGGTGATGTCCGATTTTTTTTTTGCTTTTCTTTTCCATTTTTCAAGCTTATGATGTAACGAGTCTGTTCACACAAGCCAACTCTTACCCTTGAAGTGCAGAACTGTTGAAAGAAGAGAGAGGACTCTGCAGTGCTTATGTTTGAATTCAGACTAAGTGGTACTGAAAATAATTTTGAGATGGAAGAAAACGGAGCATCTGAGAACACAGCAGCATTTCTTGAGAAGGTCCTTCTTTGTTGACCTTGCAAGAAGCTGAAGCAAAGCTTCCCTTGAGCTGCTGTGCCCAGAGCCCATGATAACGCTGAGAACATTTTATTTAATACTGCACCAATGTCTGACCCTTGAGGCATACTAACGTGCTTAAAATACACTTAACAGTACCCTCGGACTAAAAAAAATGTTTCCAACTCATACTTAGAAAAATCCATTTAGATGCTTATTTTGACTATGTGCCCAGCATCGATGGCAAAAGTGCTTCTGTTTAGAAAGGATGGTTCAGCCAAAATTCAACTTGTTTTTTCAGGAATAGGGAACTGAAGAAAAAAGTATAATAAAATCCATACCAAATAAATCATCATTCGGCTTTATTCTGTAAGTGAATAATCATGTGTGTGCAAGTCTTACTGTCCAAGCTAGCATCTCCCTATAAAGAGAACTTCCCAGCGCTGCTCTCCCTAACACTCTCTGATGCTGTGAGTGCAGAAAGACCACACTGTCAGTCACAAGGGCACAACAGGAACAAGCTTTGCTACTCTCTCCAGCAAATAACTTTTTAAATAACTCAGTACCTGACTCGTTTTGACCCCGGTCTGTCTTCTTTTCATCTCTGCTACAATTTTATATTAATGTAATTTCAGCAAGGCAACACAGTTGCACTTAATTATAAAAGACAATAATCAGGAAAAGTATCTGGCTTATTATTCTATCCATCCATGAAAGAGGCACTTAAAGGCAGGGAATAAAATTGGTATTTGCTTTTATCTCCCGGACTGAAATAAGATTTTAAATGTTTAGAGAGAGTTGAATTAAGGTAAGAATTCTGAGAAGGGTCTATGCTCTTTTAAACCGTGGTAATAGCTGTTACCTGAACTTCATGGTTGAGTCATCCAGAAACAATATTCCAGACTGCTTCAAGAGCACAAAAATGGCAACCTTCTGCCTCATTTTTACATTATAAAAACAAACAAACAAACAAACATAACTTCCCCCAAAGAAACTTCTAAAGGCAAAACCCATTTCCTAGCAAGCAAATCCACAATCCTGGAAGACATTTTCAGCTGCTGGCTTTTTAAACTCACAGGTGGAAATCTGCATGTGCGCTCTGTAGGTGCCACTACACGTGGCTGCACACAGGTGCCAAAGGGCATGTTTTTGACCCAGGCTTAGCACAGGAACACACAGGACAGCACAGCAACTCCACGCGAAGGGAAAACGAAATCACAAAGTGTGGGTACGTCGTGGATAACCGGTTAGAGAGACACGTGTCCTGTGTCATCACAAGTCAGCTGTGATATCGAGGCCTCATTTGTTTGAAAAGTTGGCTTTGCATTCTGCTGTTCAGCCTGGGGAAATCAGAGGATATACTAATATCCTTGAAAAATGAGGTTGGCTTCTCCTGAAGCAATGAACACATGCCTATTTTTCCCTCTATTCACATTCATTTCTGACTATCGATTTCTACTTGCCCTTTGTTTCTCTGGTTCCTGGCCAGCTCAACTCGCAAAGTTTTGCCCCCGAGGCTCAAGCCTTGCAAAGAGGATACAGCACTCGCTGCCGTTGCTTTATCCTTGTAATCGAGAAAAGCCCTGTGCTGTGCTCCTTGCCAATTCAATCGTAAAGGAGTTGCATGGAATTCCCTTAAAGCGTGTTTCAGTTCACTCACTCTTGTACTGGGAGGTATATTCCCCACGTACACAGTAGTAAGTGTGCCAGATCCCTCTAATCTGGGACTTAAAGAATTGCTTTCAACATATTGTTGTCCTATTTGAGCCGAGCCTGTTGCAGCCTGTGGTCTTGTATTTTCAGCCATTGCCTTCTCATTTAACGCTCTTGGTTTGGCAGCGTTTGCCAAGTCTGGATGTTCATCCTTGAGGGTAACGTCTTTGCCTGCCTGCTTCTCTCTGTATCGCAGACTCTTTAGGACAGGGATTTTTCCCAGCATCTCATAGCTGACCTAAAAAAAAAAAAAAGGGAAAATAAATTTTTAAAAATGAGTTTTCTCTCCATCCAGAAAAAGGAAAAGACCATCGGGAGTAGTTTTTGCCATAAAAACAGGGCAGCCTTATTACACAGCCACCATTCAGAGTGCCAGAGCATTCAAAATGTTACTAATTGCTGGCCTTATTCTGCAGTTGCTCCCTAAATATACACTGTAGGACAATAAGTAAACATTATTTGCTCTTTATGCAAACTACACAATGTAGATCCAGCAGGAAAATCAAATCCAAACTCAGAGTTATTAGATTTTGACGTTAATTTATCAGGGTGCATTCAGCTCTGCTTTCTCACTGCTATCCATTAACATTTGCTTTGACTGAGGGTCTGTGCTGGCAAAATCTCACGCCTCCGACCCACGCAAGCACGAGGCACTTTCTTTCTGCAGACCTCCTTGCTTGCTTTCCCCTCCAAACAGGATGTCCCCTAGGCTGGGTCCTGGGGAGGGGGTGGCGTGCAGCTGGGGACGTGCCTCCGAGCGGGGCTCCTCCGAGTGTGGGCCCAGCTGGAGGCACGTTTGCCGCTCGTGGCACGTCCCCGCAGCCGCCCTGCTCGCCACCGACCTCGTGCAGCACCCGCGGCCGCTCGCCCGGGCCCACGTCGGGCTCCTGAGTAGGATCACGGAGGGGAAGAGGACCCCCCTGCCCCTCTGCCCGCCCTGGCTCATAAGCAGCTTTTCTGCAAGGGCTCTTCCTCTCAGCAGCTGAACCCTATCAATCTGAGGCATGAGATGCCCCAGGCTGCACTCAGAGACTGGCAGGAAACTCAATGGTTCCCTAGCTAATGTGGTCTAGCTCTTGGCTTGCAGACTGCGCTTGGAAGGAGGAATAACTCAGGCTTGGCTGCTGGACAAGCAGAACATCCATCAACACTGGGCCCAATTCTTAAATTTAGGGAGCAAGACAGAGCACAGGGAAGAGATGCCCACGCTAGCAGAGAGCAAGTTAATGGGCCACACAGTGTGAGCAGCCTGGCTTTAGCGGGGGACTGCACCCAAACTTCAAGCCACAGCTCTCAGCAGGCTGTCCCGGACTGCACAGGCTGACCCTGCCTAGCACATTTGCACAGCTCAGCTCAGATCTCCCTCTTCTCAGACCCTCCAAATTCCTCATTTTACAATCACAGTTGGGGTGAGTTTGGATCTAGCTGCACCACAGAGTGTCTAAAATTTAATGATCTTCAGGGAAAGGAGTCTGCTGGAGTCAAATGGAAAAAGAGGGTGCAGGGAATGTCAAATTGAGCTAAAAGGAAAGTTTCACAAAAGAAGTTTCCTAAAGGTACCCAGGACTTCTCTCCAGAGCAGCAAACAAGTCAGCTTTATTTCAGGCTGAAACTAAATTAAAATATACATTTACATCAAGTCTGGTCTACCTCCATCTTGTTAATGTAAGACCAAAGAAGGAATAGAGCTAACCAGCACGGGCAGAACCTCACACTGTTTTGTCACACTGCAGACCCAGCGTCAGTGTATTTGGGGTGAGTACCTTTAAATGAGAAAACTTTATGATTGAGAACAATTTCTACACAAAACCAACCTACCTGGCAGCCAGAACAGAGAGGCAAGGACTTCCCCTAGGCCTCTGGGAGTCTCAGCGCTCTCAAAGGCCATTTTCAGATTTTGAAGAGTTACTGCTCTACAGACCCTCGGACTGATTTGTTTTTCTCAGCTAGGAATTCACACTGCTACATTTGACAGCAAACTCCCCTCCCCTGGGTGACACGACATCAAACCAATGGCTGAAATCATCTTACTTTGTTTTTACTGGCCATCAACTAGAAACATTTGTCGTCCTCTGTCAAATTTCTATGTGAAATGTAAGGTCTTTGCTAATTAAACCAAACAGGAAAAACATATTTCTATTCTCCTGCAACTACTCACTCCTGGGTCCCAAACACAACCTCAACCTACTACAAAGTGTACGTGCAGTTCCCTTCAGCCCCAAATTAAACTCCGTTGCTGACATACAGACTGGGTGTTAATTTGGGCTACCCAGGGCAAGGCCTCATCACTTTGTACAGCGAGGAATCAATGAGATGAGCACCGAGAGGCCAGTGAGCAGACAGTTCAGCTGGCCAGGCTTCAAGGTGGCCTTTCATTGAGGTGACCAGCAGTTTCTGGCATTAAATCAACAGAGTTCTTGGAGCTACTGTTCCAGGCTCCCTACAAACTCAGGAAGTTACAATAATATAGAGAATCATAGAATCACAGAATGCTTAAGGTTGGAAGGGACCTCTAGAGATCATCTAGTCCAACCCCCTGCACACGCAGGGTCACCTAGAGCACGTGGCACAGGGCTGCGTCCAAGCGGGTTTTGAAGATCTCCAGAGAAGGAGACTCCACAACCTCTCTGGGCAGCCTGTTCCTGTGCTCTGGCACCCTCACTGTTAAAGAAAAATTTCTTAAGTTCCTGTGGAACTTTTACTGTTTCAGTTTGTGGCCATTTCCTCTAATTCTGTCGGTGGCCCCCAGTGAAAAGAGGCCGGCACCATCCTCCTCACCTCTCCAGCAGCTCCACATCCCTCTTGTCCTGTGGAGCCCAGAACTGGACACAATACTCCAGATGTGGCTTCACCAGGGCTGAGCAGAGGGTCAGGATCCCCTCCCTCGACCTGCTGGAGACGCTCTTAACGCACCCCAGGATCCCATTGGCCTTCCTGGCCACAAGGGCAACTGCTGCCTCATGGTCAACTTGTCATCCACCACAATGCCCAGGTCTTTCTCTGTTGAGCTGGCATATGTATATGACAGATATGTACCACAGATACACACACATATATATATATCTTTGTATCCATAGGGCCTATGAACTAGTTTTCTGTCAAAGCTGAAGTTCTGCTCCTTAGACGAGACCACAAAGTGAACTTATTGTCACCCTAAATTCATCCCTGTGTAGAGATACTACTAAGTGCACTACCAAAGAAACAAAGTCAATAGATTTGACACTAATATTTGCTCATAACGGAAAACATCCTGGAAACAAACAAACAAACAAAAAACCCCAAAAGAACCACCACGCTATGTGACAAGTTCTGACACTGTCAACAGGAATTTTTCTAACAGGAAAAGAAACAGAGGATTTGCCTTAAGGGCTGTTTTCACTGGAGTCTAGGACAATCTTTCAGCTGGGTCAAAGCTTTCAAGCCCTTCTCTGTTTTATCTTTTTCCCCAATTTTTATATCATGGAAAGGCAGAATCAGCTTGGAATTCAAAGTAAGGATTCAATGAAACAATTTATCACTTTTTTGGGGGGTATAGGGGTGGGAGACAAAAGGGGTAGAGGGTGGCACAGGAGGAGGAAAAGTTTGCTCGGCTCAGTTGCAAAACACCAAACAAAAGAACTCTTCTGTGGTAGCACAATGTGTTGCTAATTACCATCATGCAAAAAGTTTCTTTTGTCTTGTGAACTGTAGAGCATTGCAGTGATTTATTTCCATGTGGAGAGTGTCCAAAGATATTCCTCCTCTCTTTCAAACAAGCTGCACGTTTCTTGGTCTTGTGCCGGCCGGTCACTCCTCCGTAGCCCTGCTTAGTGATTCAAGCAAAGCCAAGACCAAGGGGACTTGGGATCTAGCACAGGTTTTGCCCAGACCTAGGCAGCCCCAGTAGCTGCAGCCTCCCCCCTTGCTCTCTTCCATTCCTATAGGGTTAGGCCAAACCATTTATTGATGTTTGTAAAGGTAGTTAAGTGATTGGCTTTGGCACTGAAGCCTGCTGAAGAAGTTTCTTATTATATCTCACCCCTCAATTACCAGTCCAGTTCTATATTTCAGCCCTCAAGGGTTGGCCAACACAAAAGTGCTTGTGGATCTGCGCTATAACTTAGTAACTAAAGTGATTCAGGTTAAAAATAACTCCCCCAAAGGCAATTAATCATTTAACAATCCTGCCTATTCCCTGCCATAGCTGGGAGAGCCTTAGGCAAAGAGGTTTTTTGATGAATTCTTCTTGCACACAATTACCAAGCTATGGGAAAAGAGCTGAGAAGGGAAATGTGGCCCCTTGCTGACAGAAACCTGAAGAAAACAAAGCTTGGGTTGCTGAGTGCCAATACAAATCTCCTAGCACTTAACCCTGAGCATCTACTCTTATGACACCTGATTTGGTCCCAAAACCACGTAGAGGCAGAGGGACTTCTGCAGCATCTCTGCTGGAACCTCAAGAGCTCTCCTCAACCTCTTTTATTCCAGAACAGTGAACACAGCCACTTTCAATATTTTTCTGGGGAAAATGAAACATGTGTTTGTCCTCTGACAGGATGAGTAATGCTGACCCCTGATACCATGCAGGCCAAGCCAAACAACACTTTGATTTCCCTGGCAGCAGAGGCAGGGCAGTTTTGATGGGCAGCAGATGCTGGGAGGACAGCTAGGGACTGGAGAGCAGGCTAGATCTGCTATTCAATTCTGCTTCATGAGGCTATTGATCTGTGTGCCCAAACGAGCATATGGAAGTGTGGTTCAACCCTCTGAAACGTTGAGAATGAGACCTAGCAGACTCTAGCAGAGCAGAGCCCTTTCGAGGCCTGAGGCTAAGAAGCTGAAAGAGTTGGAATGATGCATCCTTGCCCACCCTGGAGGACATCTGACCCGACGCTCCTTAAAAGGCCTCCAGAACAGAGCCCACTTCTTGAGCTGCCTCCTTCATCAGCTGCTTGTTTCAATGAGTACTGAGTTCACAAGGGTTTAAAAGTGGTGGCACAGACAAAGCCAAAACAGCCAGGAAGGGCCAGTGCAGTCGCATATTTTATCATTCATTCGCACAAAATGTCCAAATATGTGCAGGCAATCCAAGGGCATATTTTTGGGAACTGGCAGCCCATGAAGTCTGCTGGTGTCCCTCAAGAGAGAGGAACTCATGCAGCCCACATTTGGAATCCATAGCAAAAACTGCCTCCATGGGCTCTGTAGCAAGGGTCAGATTTGCAAAGGTGTTGAGATGTTTAACCACACATGGAAGCGCTCCCAGCTCATGCCATCCCTCCAAAAAAAGCCTTGGCTAAACTCACAATAGTTTTCTTTTTTGGTCAAGCTGCGTGCCTACTGGAGGCTTTGCCAGCTCACGTGTGGTGCCTACTGGAGGCTTTGCCAGCTCACATGTGTGAATTTTTTTAAGCACTGAAACAACATTACAGATGTGAATCAAAAGCTGCTGGTTGTCAGATATTGACTCCACAATCAGGTATTAAACTTGTTCAGCATAACAGCCAGAGATTTCCTTTCATTTGGGGGGAGGAGGGGAAAGTCTTCTCCTGCTTCTACTAAATTGTCAGAAAAAAATATATAAAAAACCACACAGAAGGAAATGCTTGCTAGATTTTAGTTATTTTTTCCACAGCTACTCTCATTTCCATTTTCATGACCCCAAATATTTTAATTTGTCTGCAGAGTTTCAATTTTAAATAAGTACAGCACAAAATAACTTCATAATTGTGACAAACATAATAGGCAGCGTCACAGATAAAGATCACAGCTACCCATACAAAATACTAAATGAGAAAGTAAGTCACTTCATGAATTTAGAGTTCCCAGAAACAATGGGATGGATTTTCACGGGAGATGAAGCCAAATAGTTCCCCGTTGGTATCCAGATAAATTAGCCAAGTTTTCCAGCATGCTCAGTTCTTAGCAGCTTTTGCTCTCCAAGAGCACTTACTGGTTTTTGAAATCCTAAAGTCAGTTCACAGAGCTTCTCCCCTCACACACTCCGCTATTACCTTCATATCGAGAAGCATTTCTAGAGCATCTGACACTGACTTGGATAATGCTTCTTTGACATTAGTAATATTGTATTTCCAACAACATAGCTATATTCCTTGGAAGACAACTTTTCTCAGAATCAGCTTTTCTGTGATAAAAATCACCAGCATGCAATTCACATCTTCCTGTTTAGAGAGGGAAGGGAAAAAAAAAAAAAAAAAAAAAAAAGCTATCTTGACAGCAAGAAATAATTTAGATGGAAATTTGGTACTGGGGAGACCTGAAAGGAAGCATCTGAGGGCAAATCACACCAGTTACTCCAAAAGCTGTAAATCAGTTGGTGCCAGAGTAACACCTATTTACACTTATCTCTGTATCTGACAGGCTGCTTCCTATCTATGGGATAAACAGAAAAACTCCAAGAAAATGCAGTACCTCTCTGAGCACAGAAATTTAGCCTGAAGACGTACATTTTGCTTGCTCCCTAAGTAGCTTTTGACCTGTGAGCTGAACAGGACACATGTATAGCAGGCTATTTGTCCTAACAGTTTTACAGAAAGCACATCCCTTAGAACAATGCTTAGCAGTAATCCCATGTTTGCAAACTTCTTTAATTTAACCCCTTAAACTATTGTCTTGCTTAATCCAGCCATATTCCCCACTATGAAGTTTACTGCAACGTGTTTTACGCATCACACAACAATACAGTACAATTAAGCTACCTTTTTGTTGACAAAACACCCTATTCAGAAGGGAGGTACTTATTTACTCTCTGCCTCTTGGTTCATTTAGTTTTGCCCAGAGGAACAGGAATGTAATAGCAAAGCCAGGATTTGAAAGAAAAAAAGAAAAGCCTATAGACAAACACTTAAATAACAAGAATCCAATCCTACGTTTTTAAACACCTTGGCTATTAACTAGACCTCCCACTGTCAAGACACTCCATGCAGTAGCTGTTAACAATGACTTCCACAGCCACAAACAAAACATACACAAGTTGCTCAGTTGCCTGCAAAAGAAAAAACACAAGTTCTTTCCTTCTTCATCTGTACAAGATGCTCACTTCTTGTTCCAAAACAATGGAAATGTAATGATTATCCCAGCTCTGAACCGTAGTTCTCCAATGTTCCTATCTAATCGCATCAAGCCTTGCAGAACAGCCAAAAGCTGGATGCTCTAATTTTCGTATGTTAAATCAACATTCAAACATTTACATAAAGGCTCAATCTTGTAAAATACTCTGGTCTTGCCAAGAGCTGTATTTTTCAGACAATGCACAGAAATGTAGGGATCACTATAGAAAAAGATAGATTCATAATGACATGCAAACTTTTAAAAAATACGTGCCTCAAGCTTTAAATATGATTCAACTAAACATCTCCTCAACCTTTAAATAGAAGCACAAAAGAGTGCTAACAAACAGTTGACAAGCTTATGAAACATATATCATAACTCTGATCTTTAATTTTTCTCTGGAAAGTGCAGAAGTGCCACAGTAACAGTAAATGTGACACATACTTAGGGACTGACCAACTTTTCAAGAGTGGCATAAATCACACAAAGATGAAAGGTCCCTCCAAGAGACTGTGTTCCTCAGACCTTTGAAAAAAGTAACTAGCAAAGGGAAGCAAAAGCAGAAAAAACAGTGTTAGCAGAGCCAATCATTGAGACTAAACTCTGACACAAAGATGAAGTGTGATCAGAAGTATGTTGGCAAGACGCATGGGCAAAAGGAGTAAGCGTTCAAAACAATTACTTTCAATAATATTCTTTAAAAAATTCAAAAATAATTCAATGGAAAAAATGCACTAGTACAGACAGAGATTTTATTTTTATGTTTTTAACCTCAAATCCTCAACCACAGTCAGGGTAAAATGCTCTCCCACCATCAGAATAAAAATAGGACTGGCTAGAATTGTTTGTTGTAGATACATCACCTTAACAAATTTAACTCTTTTATTCTTTGTTAAGCACTTGCCAAACAACTGCCAAATTCCATAGAAGGATTCACTAATATTTCTCTAGTGGTTTTTGCAAAGACAACGGTACACTATTCCTTATTTTAAGGTTACCCAGTCACGTTGGATTGCATCTACTCCTTAACCGAATGATTTTTAGGAATGAAAATCTAATGACAAAGGAAAAGTTTTCCCAGAATGAATTTCCTGTAAAGGCATTTACTAAGTGCATTTGTGAAGCCATTTGTTAAACTACTTAGATTTCCAACATGCTTGGGGGAACATAAATCAGTGCTTAAATGATTAAAATGAAATCATTAATAAGTGTAACAAGACACTACGATTTTAAAGGATGCATTTCTGGCTGGAGCCCATTCAGGTGGAGACAATCTCATATGTTCACTCTGTACACAGCAACAGAGCAGCCACCAGGTCATGCTTTTCTTACAGAAAGAGAAGCACATATTCCCCCATTTTGCCCTGTCTAATTCCATAGAGTTATCTCTGTGACAGTATCTTCAAAAAATGAAGAAAAATAATTTTATTCAGCATTCAGGAATAAGACACAAGGTGAGGTTGCTGCTCAGCTTCGTAGACTTTTAACACATTTGTTCCTCTTTCAAATGTTTCTAATAGCAGACATTTTTTTTCCCCCAATTTTCCCTAGAGAATGACTGAAGAAAGAATAGATACTTATCAACTGAGCTTTGGTACCCATAAGTTACCTGTAGCCGAGTAACTTGCCTTATGCCACATTATTCCTTGTGGTTTCAATCGTTTGCAGTTAGTCTTGATAGTTCTTGTTGGAGTGAGTATATAATCCACTGTTAAATCATGGTCATCAAGAAGCTCTTCTGCTATGTCAACAACCTACAAGGAACAAGTAATATGACAAGTAGCTAAAAAACACATTCTCTAAATTTGTGCATGATTCTTGATACCTTGCAATGTATCAAAATCTCTCATTGATAGTGGAAAAAAAAAAAAGATGTTATGCCAGATCAACCAAGTTTCTTCTTCAGATGACATAGCACAATTCTGATGCTTAAAAACTGTTGAGAGTATTTTGAGTATTTTAACTTACCTGGCAATCATGCACAATGGTAATTACAGGTGTATCCTCCTGGACAGCACCCATTGACACCATCATTGCATACTCCATATCTGCATAACCTTCACCTTTTCCAATTCTCCACCCTAAGCCAAAAGAGAACAGTGATAGTAAACATAGAACAGCAGAGCTTAGAGGATGGTTCCTATCAAAAGCATGAGACTAAATTTAAGTCTGCTGGCTCTAAACCACTCTGACTGTTTTGAGAGTAGTAACCTATCACACAGAAGACACTGAACTCAGGATAACAGTCCAGTTCCAGAGAGACATTCAGGGCTGCTGAAAGGAACAGGCAACCTGCTAAAATTTACAAGTAACTTAGCACCCTCCTCCTGAGAAGCTTACAAGACTTCATTGTACCTTTTTCAGAGACAGCCACTGATCCTACAACCACCAAGTCCACTCGTGCTTTCCCATCAAGACGTATGGGCACGCTGAAGTCTTTTACACCCTGCAATAAAAGCAGAAATTTAGGATTGCAGAGTGGAATCTTGAAACTATGAGGCAGAAATCAAGAATACTCTGATAAAATTTGGGGTGCTAGCTGAATTTAAGGTGTTCCTTTCATATATAGTCAAAATTGCACATTTCTGAAAAGTTACTCTAGGAAGAGACATTTTCCATTACAATTATGAAAATTTTGGCACACTTTGGAGAGTGCCATGGAGGTGGACACCTTTTTGAGCAAGATTGTAAAGCCCTAGATTGGGGCATTTTGAAAGTGATGGCAGGTGAAACTTTTTATCCCAATACCGCTAGCTATTGGGTGATGTTCACAAGAAAGATTTCTCCCACTAAGGAATTTGAGAGTGATGCAAATTCTTAAATTAATTCTTACATACAAATAATGAAGCTCAGTTTAGAAAGAGACAGCTGCAGCCTAAAGATAATAATTAAAGACTTTATTTTATGACTCCTTAATACAGGGGTACAGGTGCCCTAATTCATCTTCACACCAACTCAACCTTTTCCTTGATCTTCACATTAAAAAGCCAAATATTTTCCATTTAAAGCACAAAAGCAAAGAGATCAATATTTTATGGCTGACTCGCTTTATCAGTAATAGCACTCACTGCCCACTTCACAGCAATGTGGGAAGAATTGTTTGTACAACACTTTGTAAACACCATTTGCTAATAGCATTTATTCATTAGTACGCCTGTTTGCGGGAGAAACAGACACATGGTGAAAGATCACAGAAGAGATATTAGGCCTGAAGCATGTCAAAAGAAAGGTCTCTTTCAAAAGTGCTTTTCAACCCTGAAAAGCTTAATTAGTTAATGACTTTAATAGAACTTCTAACAAAGAAACCCAAGAAACTCACTAGCAATTACCCTCTGTTTACAGTCCTTGACTGAATACGGGATTACTGCAGGAACTTTACTGCTTTTAGCTGGAGATAGAGTAAGGAGTAAAACCTATATAGTTGGTCTACTCATTTTGTAGAAATTATATTCTTACCTCAAATACAACGTGTGCATAAAATAACACAGAATTCTTTGCCAAAGGAGTCTAGCTGGACAGTATGACGTTTTAACACCAGAGGGCAGCAATATACCACGTTTCAAAAGAAAACCGTTGGGGCACAATCAGCACTGTTGCACCTCAGTTGAAACAAATGAGAGAACTAATGTTCCTTTAGACTTAGGATTCTAAAAGAACTGATCTTGTGTTTATAGTATGCTTTATATTTTATCAATCGGCTTAGACAAAGAATTATACACAATAAAATAGTTTTCCTTCTAGAATTCACTAGCTCGAAAAATGTAGAAGAAAATAAATAATATTTACTAGAAGCTTAAAGATTTGGGTCATCTTTTAAAGTTGCTCATAATGTCCCCAAAACACTGATTAAATACAGATAGCATTGTACTAGTAAGGAAAATAGTGGTGAAAGTAGTGTGAATTTTTAAGTATTAACACAAAATTGTTTGTGGTGGATGCATATACAAAATGGGAATTCCATATGAGTAGAATAGTATTGCACATTTCAATGTCTACTTAGACTGCTCTAATTCAATACTCTTTGACATATTAATTCAGCTCGCCCCCATTTCTAAAACCTACCTGAGATGTAGCACATATCCGTAGCATCTCCTTAGTTGCACCTGGAGGTGGTACAATCTTATTAAACAGCCCAGTTCTCAAACGTGGTGTTGGAACCAACAGTGTCTTCCTTGCCTGTGTAGCAAAAGAATTTATCACATTACAAACAGCAGAATCATCTCACACTAAATACATCAGGAAAAAGACTTTATTGTCCCATTTAGTCAACTATCTTATTTGTACAGAGTAATTTATGGTGTTTGCATAGTTTTTGTAGACGAATCCTCTCAGTGCAGTAAACTTTAGGAAATGCATGACAAAACATACAAAAGAGCATGATACACAAACTAGTTTCTCCTAACAAGAAGCTAGCGATCACTCATCGCTATGAATCAAGTCTGTCATATATTCATTCAATGATAAGACAGTATGAAGCAGGGCTACCACATATATTTCTTGGAACGAGAACACAGTTTTGTTCCAAATAAACATATTAATCCACAAAAAGCCTGAGCACACATTTTCCATTTGTCAAAAAGGCAAACACACCCTTAAACAAGTAGCCCCGAGAGATTTAGCACCAGTAAATCTCTCACAGGAGAGATGCCGGGTACTGAGGAGATGCTGTAAACTGCACTCTCACTCTTGTGCTCCTTAATGGTGCAAGGGTGCTCGTTACCTGCAGCGCAGCCAGGCGAACACCCTCGAGAGGCTTGTCAGGATCCACCTTAATCTCATTCGCTTTGCGGAACACATCCAGCTCCCTGATGGAGCAACAAGCCTGGTGAGACCCCTGCGCAAGGAAAGGGGTTAAGGCACAAGCGAACACGTTCACTTACTTCCAGGGTTAGAAAGCGGGCATTCTTCTGGGGAGCATCGGGGTTTATTTTTACGGTTTGGGCAGCTCTGAATTCCTGCAAACCCAGCAGCCTTGTCGCAGCATGGGAGGCACCCTGTTTCCACAAGACAGCACATCAGCAAGTTGCTCGAACCTGTGTCATCAGGCAGGGAGGCAGATTTCTCCAGATGTTAAGTGCAAGGGGCACATTGCTCATTTGGGGGTATTTTCTATACACTGCTCACCGCTGCTAGGCCTAACGGGACTCAGAAAAAAAAAGGGCAGGAGAATACACACACTTTGGGGAATTTCTACCTCCCTTACACCTGCTGCTGCCCTGCAGGCGGGTTTCGCTTTCAAGTCGGTACATACGTATGAGCGCGACGCCGCGAGGACATCACGGCC